CTAAAGCCCGACAGTCTTTTGGTACTTCGTTTTTTAATATTCCAAGACGAAAACTTGCCGACTTTTAGGTGTGCAAACTGTAGAAAGACAACCAAGATAGAAAGAAATGGTAACGGTGCTGCCAGTAGCTTGTTACTATGGTAACCACACAACCTGTGTCTCGCTCCCTGAGAGTAGAAAGTAAGACTCCGAGTAATAGTTACTGTGTGAAAACTAAACGTGCTGGAAAATACATTCCTGAACCAAAATTAGTAATTGTTCATTTTTATTTATTTATGGATAGTTACAATAAGCGAATCAGATACAAGTGAAGTCATTAGAGTTTAGGCGTTCGCTCTCTGCACTTTGTGGGGGTTTGAGAGGAAAACACAAGTTGTACAGATGTGAGAGACACTCCGGGTGAAAGAGGACAAAGAAACCTACGCCTGGATGTATAAACCGTTTGATTTTTTTTATTCTAAAATGTCCAAAACTCATAAAATCAAACAGTTATAACCTGAAAAATTGTTAAAATGATGTTAAAAAAACCTCCTGTGAGCTGTTTAAACTGATAATGTTTCAACTCTGAAGCCTGTCTGAGTTGTGTGTGTGTTTGTCCGCAGCTGCCCCGGTGTGGGTGACCAAACCTCAGGACAGCAACCTAGAAGAAGGCAGACCTGGTTACCTTCACTGTAATGCTCAGGCCACCCCTCAGCCCGAGGTCGTCTGGTACCGCAACAACATGATGATCACACTCGAGGTTTGTTCTGCGCCCTTCTCTCCGTTCTATCGTTTCTCCCCGGCCCCACTGCGGCGCGATGAGGGGGCGTTGGAGATACATTCGGTCCGTCTGTGCATGTTGTGAGTGTTCTTTCAAAATTGGGTTGCAGTGTCAAAATCCAAGATGGCTGTCTCCGTATATGTCCCATTTGTCTTGTGAGCTGCATAACTTGAAAAATAAGCAACGTGTCGACTTCCGTTTGTGTGTGGCTGCATGTAGGCGTAAGAAAGCTCGCCATCGAAAATTGTTTTGCCTTGTTAAAATCCAAGATGGCTGCTGCCATTAATATGAACCCTGTGAGCTGGATAACTTGAGAATAAGCAACATGCTGATTTTCACTTGAGTGTGTGGCTGCATCTATGCATAAGAAAGGTCATAAATGCACATATTGCTTAAGAGTAAAGTTTCCTGAAATGATTGGGGTGGCCGAAGATTAATCTATGAGGGACAAGGCCACCGCTGCCCCCCCAACCTTCTCCATCCATTGTACCTGGCGGTGGATTAAACTTCTCCCTCCACTGTCCAGGGTCTGTCGCTCTGTGCTGCCTGAGACGAGCGAGAACATTAAAACTACGTCTGTTCTTCTCCCCACTTGAACATCTTGCACCAAAAACATTTAGG